ATTTCCAATCATACTTGACCCAACCATCTTCCTTGTGATGTTATCTCCAAGTTTAACCTTGCCTCCATTCCTGGCTTCCGACGATATGAATTGTGTAGTATCTCTAATCATATGCTTTGAACATCCGCTGTCTAGGTACCATATACTCTCACGAGGACTTGTGTGAGAGCGACCCTGCAAGATTATAAAATGTTAGACCTGAAAACCTAAACTAATTTGGGTTCTCCTTTTGGCAATTTATAAAAAGATACATGTATGATATGTTTAGGTTTATGCATCTTAGGTTTCCACACCAAATAAGTTTTCTTCTTCAAAGTACAGGTGTGAGCTATGTGTCCAATCAATCCACAATTGTTACATTTAACTTTTGAAAAATAATTCCTAAGTCTTCTAATATTCATTTATCTATTTAGGGATTGCATAAATTTAGGATACAAAATAGGATTAGTGAAATCTTCAAGTTTAGGGGGTATCCTATTATCCTTGAGAGCTTTTATCTTTAATTTGTAATATGAATTTATTTCTTTCAAAATTTGATTTGTATAATTGATTTTATAAATTTTGCTCTCAGATTCATCCTTAAAATTTTTAAATTCTTTTAAAAGTTCTGAATAGGATGATTTCAAACTTTCATAATTTTTATTCAAGTCATCAAACTCATCAAGTAATTTCATGTGGTTGTCATTAATTAAAGCATGATATTTTCTAAAGATTTCATGTTCCTTTTATAGTTTCTCAAATTCTAAGCTCAGACTAGTCTGTATTTTCTTTATATTCCTATATGCATCATGCATGTGTTCAGAAACTTTAAAAAGTTCATCGTAAGTTAAGTCACATACTTCTTCTTGATCTAACTGATCAAGATTATTGACCATTAAGCACAGATTAGTGACTTCCTCTTCCTTTTTCATTTCTGACGAGTCCAAAGCTGAGTCTGCCCAAAAAGCTCTTTGGAATTTCTTCTTGTCCTTCTTCACAATTGGTTTCTCCTCAACTTTCTCCTTGCTAGGAGTGGCTTTAAGTTTTGGGAATTTTGTCTTAATATGTCGAGGTTTCCTACACTCATAGCAAATAACATCATTTGAAACCTTAACATTCCTATTAAATTTACCTCTATTCCATTGCTGGTGTCTCTTCTGCTTCCTCTTCAGAAAGATTCTGAATTGTCTAGTCATTAATGCGATGTCATTTTCATCCTCAGGTTGTGAGTGTTCACTCTCATATTACTCCACTTTTAGTGCTATGCTCTTTTCCCTTTGTGGTTCACCTACATCAATCTTTCTTTGGCTAACTTCTTACTCATAAGCAATTAGCGAATCAAGAAGATTGTCAATAGAGTAAATGTTTAGATCTTTATAGTATGTAATTGCAGTAATTTTAGCATCATAAGCAGTATGTAAACAACAAAAAATCTTATTAACCATTTTAGCATTCGTTAGTTTCCTACCCATTGCATGTAAAGAGGTGACTATTTGTGTGAATCTTGTGTACATATCAGAAATGGATTCATTTGATTTCATGCGAAACAGTTATTAATCATGCAACAAGATATTAAGTCTAGATTGCTTAATCTTATTAGTCACCTCATAAGTTATATAAAGTTTATCCCATATGTCCTTTTCACACTTGCTAGTAGAAACCCGCATGTAATCTTCTGATTTAAGTGCACAAAAGAAACTATTCAAGCATTTGGCATTTAGTTGTGCTAAGTCACATTCTTCTACTGTCCAGTCTATAAAAGATATTTCAACTCTAACTCCGTCAACTAGTCTAGTTGGTTTTGTATACCCTTCCTGAACTATGATCCACATACGGTAATCAAGTGACTGTAAAAATATAGACATGCGTAATTTCTAAAAATCAAAAGGAACATTGTCGAACAATGGAGGTCTAGTTATAGAGTAACCCTTAGGTATATTTCAGTTTCCAAATGTAGCCATTTACGTTAATTAAAAAGTAGTCTAAACTTATAATTTTGAAACAAAGCTCTGATACCACTTGTTGAAACTTGTTCACTATGAATTAGGTTGTTAAACCTAATTTTATGTCCCAACGACTAACCAAGAGGGAGGTGCATTGGTAATTAAAAAAAATCTTATCCTCTTTTAATTTTTATATCAAAAATTTTATTTAATGAATTTTGTAAAAAAAGTTTTTAAACCACAAGTAAAACAGTAAAAATAAAAGGCAGCGGAAAATAAAAAGACACAAGATTTATAGTGGTTCAGTCAAACATGACCTACATCTACTCCCCGGAGGCACCCTCCGAGTATTATACTAATACCACTAGTGACTCTCCTTTTGCACCCACAGCAAGGAGGAGAAACCTTTACAAAACTCTATTCCACCACTACTTAGTGCGGTAGAGAACCGTCGTCCTTTTACACTCTTCCCAGTGTTGGCAGAGAAATGTTGTCCTTTTACACTCTCCTGGTGTAGGCAGAGAACCCTTCGTCCTTTCACACTCTCCAAGTGTGGGCAGAGAACCCTTCGGCTGTTCACACTCTCCAAGTGTGGGTAGAGAACCCTTCATCCTTTCACACTCTCTAAGTGTGGGCAGAGAACCCTTCGTCCTTTCATACTCTCCTAGTGTGGGCAGAGAACCCTTCGGCTGTTCACACTCTCCAAGTGTCGGTAGAGAATCGGGTCTCCTTGACAGATCATCTCACAAGAAATCTAGAAGGAAGAGAGAAAAGTGAAGTAAACACAAACCACAAGTAGAGACTCTTACCTTTGAGTACCAAGTGAATCCTTCACGCTCCAATAGTAAGAATCCTCCTTCAAACACTCTCTCACACTCACTCCTTGACTCTCTCTTCAGTTGGCATGAAGATCAGTCGGAAAAAAGACTAAATGACAATTCTAATTGAACTTTATATATGAAAGATAAAAAAAACCGTCCAAAAGCTACTGATATTCAAGTCTGAACAAAGTGGATCGTCCCGTACGATCGTGGATCGTCCTGGACGAACTTACTTAAATTAGTTGCATACGAACCCAATGTATATTGGTACGAACTGACTTCGTACCCGATTATCATCCCATACGAACCAAGTTCATTATGTACGAACAGTTATACCATGGGTCAGTTTCGTTAAACTGCAGGAAGTTATCAAAATTTAGAAAGGATAGAGCATTTTCGTCCTAGGACGAATAATCGTTCGTTTGGATAAAATTTTTACAGAGAGCATTTCATCCTGGGACGAATGGTAGTTCGTCTGGATGAAATTTTTACACAGAGCATTTTGTTTTGGGCCGAATATAGGATTTCGTCTGAACAAAAATTTTCCAGAGAGCATTTTGTCCTGGGATGAATTTTAGTTCGTCTGGACGAAAATTTTTCAGAGAATATTTCATCCTTGCACAAATAGGATTTTGTCTGAACGAAAATTTTCTAGAGAGCATTTCGTCCTAGGACGAATTATAGTTCATCCTGGACGATCAGGACTTAGAAAAATTTTCTGCCCTCTTGTTCTATCCATTGCTCTTCCAAGGGGATAACTGACTTTATCGTCATGTACGAACCTAGTTCGTCCCGTACGATCAATATGATTTTTTAAAGATCTCCCTAAGTGTGTGTGTGCTAAGTTATTTAATTATAATTGTTGAGTCTAGTAATTAGGTTATTAAGCCTAAGTGAGTGTCCCAAGGCTACCAAGAGGGGGATGAATTGGTAGTTTAAAAATTAAGTCCCCTTTTTAAAATTATTGAACTGAAATAAAAATTTCTTTTAAATTTTGTAGAAAAATGTTTTTCAACCACAGAGTTTTTAAAACTGAAATTTAAAGTGCGGAAATGTAAAAACAGTAAAGTAAATGACACCAGATTTATTATCACAACAAGCATTCCAATTATTTCTTTCCATTAACCCCTCTGATTTCAGCGAAATGATTCCAAGCTATATCCATTTTCTTACGGGCACTATGCTTGGATGTTGCAGGTTGGCCACTAGGAGCTTCCATTCTAATATCAACAACCAAATGAATTTAAACACAACCAAATTCACTAGAGAATGAATGTAGTTATCATAAACATTAATCATAGGCATGCAAGTAATGAGAGAAAATATGAAATGTTACGACTTCAAACAAATAATGCAAGCATCAAAGATCCTTATTATAACAAAATGCTACCCAATCATAGTAACTTTATTTATTTGTCATGTAAAATTGGATAATTTGTTATGCTTATTGCAAGGCAACCTATGAGGTATCCCAAATAAAATTGTCATCCCAATAAACAAGAAAACTCTTATATCCACCATGAACAAAAGATATAAACCCTACATATAAGATAGATTCTGCAATAAGAAAAACAAATATGTGTGACCAGTTCTTAAACATGAGTTCACAAGGAGACTTTGAAAAAATGTGAAGATATACATTTAGAAACTTTACAAATCCTAAGCTATCAATAGCATCAATTATACACGTTGGAATTCAAACATTGGAATCAATTAAAAAATTTAACCATAAAAATCACATGCACCCCCTTTATTTCCACGTAAGTACTATAAACTCAATAAAGATAGTAAATTATTAAAACATACAAATAAAAATAAAAGATACCTACATAGCACACTACTAGAGCGAAATGAATGGGGAACAAACAACGACGTGAGAACATTAGGTTATTTTCCATATTTCAAGGCCGTTTGATCTAAAATCTACGGCTCAAATCCGTTGTTCATTGAACCAAGTGGTTCTAAAGAATGGTGCCGATTCCACGGTTTGGCGGTTCAAACAACAAGACTAACAAATTTTGGGCCGGTCTAATGCAAAATTGGTTTTGAAGGCTAATCAAACTGACCAGCTGATCTGTTCCCAATTTAACCAGTTGAGCTAATGGGACCGATCATATTTTTAAATTCATGATAAATTGTTTTTGTTGGGCACCCAAATGTTTGAAAATAAATGAGTCTTTATTAATAAAACAAATGTCGCAAAATTCAGCTAACAGAATCAATTTAATTAGTCAATGGGTCATAAAAAAACAAAAAATTCCAATGAAACCAGGTGTCCATCATAGCAAATAAAACGATTGTACGAAACGAGCAGCTCGGAATTTGCAGAATAGCATGGCTGCCTCGCCCTCAAGTTCTTCTTCACCTATGCCGCCGCGTACTCCACTTTCTAAATCTCGGGTTACAATTACCTCTTCCATCCCCTTGCGTAATCATGAGCAATGGATCCATCCCTTTCTTCTCCTCATGTTTTTTCTCACCTCCTTCCCGTCTTGCTTTTCCTCCGCCGATGTCTCCTACGCTGATCATTGCGGCTCCATCGTACCCGAATCCACCCCTTCCACACTTCGTGCATACTCAGATAGCTACTTTCGCATCTCAAGTGGATACTTCGTCGGTGGCGATCGCTTTCTCGGCGAGGATTCCCGGATTGACTTCTCCGCCCTCCGATCCTTCGCTTTCTACAGCCGATCGGTGCTACTTACGCATACCCCGGGCACACTCCAGATCGTTGGAACACTAATCTTTCACGGTGGAGGCTTCCATTTCGCTCACCGGAACTTCACGTCCCGCGGCCGCTCGCTGCGTCTTGTCCGTCCATGGAACACTCGGAGCTTCAAGAGGCTGGGAAGGGTTAGCTTCGACATATCGGGCTTTTGGTCCGAGGAAACCGGTAAACTTTGCATGGTGGGAACCGGCTCCGGACGTTCCAAAGAAGGTATCTCTCTCGATCTCTCTGCTGTCTTTAAGCTCAAATACCCTACTGCTGCCAACATTACCTCCAGCGTTGTCAGCGGATATCTGGAGAGTTTGGAATCAGTGAACAGTACAAGTTACTTTGATCGGATCATGGTTCTGGCTTATGCACAGAGGAAGTATGAATACACGAAGATTTTCCAGGCTCGGAGTTCATGCTCCTTTATTCATGATTCTGTGGGTCAGTTGATGGGTTTTCTTGACAGACGCCAATCAATTTGCGATGCTCCCGGTGACCTTCTAAGGACAAGGTTCAAATTGGAGTATGGGAGCAGCTGCTCTAATAGGAACTGCGGTCCTTTATACAATTGCTTAGGGTTTCAGCCAGCATTTTTGAAATTTACATCTCTGGATTGTTCTGATGATGGTAAATTTCGATTAGTTGTATTGTTTTCTAACTATAGTGGCCCTTCATCTATGATGATGCTGGAGCCTGGAATGGCTATGATTGCTGAGGGAAGTTGGGTTCAAACTAAGAATCAGCTTTGTCTCATTGCTTGCCGTGTCAAGGCATTCACTGACGCTCTGGCTGATAATGCTGTGGATGACTGCACAGTTGGCATAAGCCTAGCATTCCCTGCAGTCCTGACAATTGAGAGCAGGAGCACAACTGTAGGGAAAATATGGAGTAACTTGAATGAAACTAGTCCCGGATACTTTAGCTCTCTTATTTTCCGGAGTTTTGGGTACAGTGGGGAATATGATAACCGTTTAAGATACAAATATACAAAGATGGATGATGTGAGGAAATCTTGCACTGAGGCAGATGTTCGTAGATCCAGGAAAAAGAGATACCCCGATCCAAGGAACTATATAGACTTTATGTTTTATTTGCTCATAACAACATCCGAAGGAAAGCTGGGAAATGGCTTTGCAAATCCATTAGCTTTGGGTGAGACGATCAATCACATTGCTTCCATGAAGCGCCCTACATTACTGGCAAACAATCAGAGCATGTGGAACATAAGCTACTACTTTACACACGCCAATCATCAAAATGCACCTTTTAACAGTCCTGATGCAGGAGATATATCTGCTGAAGGAACTTATAATATAAAAACAGGGGTGATTTGCATGGTTGGCTGCCGGTCATTTGACACACAAGGGAACAATCTAGTTTCCAAGGACTGCAGGATTCTCATCAATATACAGATTCCCCCACTTAATCCAGAACCTGGAGAACATCTACATGGTACAATTAGAAGCACAAGAACAAACTTGGATCCACTCTTTTTTAAACCTCTTGAGATCTCTTCTCAGGTGATGTACGGGAGACAAGCTGCTCAGTCAGCTTGGAGGATGGATATAGAAATTATCATGATCCTTATATCCCTTACATTTTCATGCATTTTTGTAGGTTTACAACTGCTCCATACCAATAAACACCCTGGCGTGCTTTCTTCCATTTCCATCACAATGCTTGCTTTTCTTACATTTGGCCATATGGTTGTTTTAGTGCTCAACTTTGAAGCATTATTGAAAAATCACAAAAAACAGAATGCTCTGCAGGGTAATGGTGGTTGGCTTGAGGTGAATGAGGTTGTTGTGAGATTGATGACAATGGCAGCTTTCTTGTTGCATTGCCGTTTGCTTCAAGTTGCGTGGTGTGCAAGATCAGCAAATGATGGCAAAAACAGTTTGTGGCTTGCAGAGAGAAAAACCATCCGATTATGTCTGTTTCTATATATTGCTGGAGGTTTTATTGCCTGGTTGGTTCGCCCGAGTTCTCAGAAAACTTTCCATCAGGTGCCGCATATAACTATTGAAACTCGTTATTCTCCCTGGGATGATATTCAAACTTATGCTGGGTTGATACTTGATGGTTTTTTAATTCCTCAAGTTATTCTTAATGCGCTATGTGATTCCAAGGAAATTTCCCTTGCCCCTTCTTTTTACGTTGGAACAACTATTCTTAGGGCACTTCCACATGTTTATGATCTCTACCGATCAAGATACTACATTCCCCGTCTCAATTCATCTTACATCTATGCCAGGCCAAACGGAGACCTCTACTCTCTCGCTTGGGATATAATTATTCCAGGTGTGGGAATTCTATTTGCTGTATGTATATACATTCAGCAGCGATTTGGTGGGGCTTGTATCTTTTGCCGAAGAATTGGAAGCCTTGGCTTGTATGAAATGGTTCCTGTTGCTACCAGTTAGCTTGTTTCCCTAAAAGCTGACCATTGTGGTATCTTGCTGCAGAACTTTCACTTGAACTTAATCATGTTATATATTCTTTTCTTTCTCAATTGGATTTTCATGTTTTTCGAAGTTGTCAGCATGGTCAGCTATGTACTCGTCAAAACTTTTCAAAATGCTAAGGGAGTTCGGTTTAGGGTTGTGCGCCACATACCCACAGTATTAGGTGCCACTTAAGAAACAGCTTGTTTCCGTTTTGCAATTGATGCGGAGCATCTTAAGCATAGCCAACCTTAAGGAATACTATACCATTTTCTTACCATTTATGTTCACTGTCCTACTTTTCACTATCCTCGTTGCTTTTCTTTTACATAGCACAACAGCTGTTCATTTTTAGCTATTAAGCCTTTTTTAGCAAGGTGGACATCAGTTCGTTGATAGTACGCATTTGTTTAGGCCTTGAGTTTATTCAGAAGATAATGAAGTAATACAACATTCCTTTGAGTATTCCATGTTTTCATTCTCTGTTTTAGTTGCAGCGTCTCCTTCTTCCACGACTACCACATTAGGTTGGTTTAAAAAACTTGAAGCCTGGCTAGAATGGCTGATTGCAGCAAGCGCATGACTTGTGACATGATCACAATCTTGTGGCCCTATGGGCCGCGCATTATAGAATAATCCGACAATCAGATTAAATAGCATATGAATTTTATGCAATGAGAGTTGCAATCTCTCATGACGGGTTTAGATGATCATCAGAAGACTCAGATAGTAATGCCAGCATCCAACCTTGTTGCTAAACGAACATGCAATCCAAGCCAAGTGAGGTGAAGGGCACCTATGGTCTCACAGAGGTAACTGATTTAGAAGTTGTGGGTAGTTACAATCTAGAAAATTTTCTCTAATTCAGAAGGTTAAAAAATCATTGCTTGTGTACAATCAACGCAACGAAGAGTTCCACGTTTTGAAGATTGTTCTCTAATTAGTTGATTTCCTTTATTATTCTTTTTCATTGACTCCTATGGTACCATGCCCTAAACAAATCTTCAAAACGTGAAACTCTCATCCATTATTGGAATCTCTATCCCATCCTGATGATGGAACTATCAAATTCTCCAAATGATAAGCTTTTAATTAAATCATTATCTCCATATTGTTGAATACTTTGAACCCTTCATCATCTCCATAGTCATGTTCATGAGACTACCAAGGCAATGTAGGAATTTCAATGCTCTACTTATTTTCAAGAAAATAACATTTTTCAAATGAATACCCACTAAACATTGTGTGCTAGGACAAATATGGTGTTGGTGTTTGGTGGCTTTAGTTATTATAATCACGGAGGTGTGGAGGCCACAGGGAGGCGTGGAGTTGGTACAGGATGAAACAACTTCACGCACATTTCCTACCAAATGACTTTGAGCAAATATTTTATCTTAAGTATTACATTCAGCACAAAGAAACATATCAGTACGTGAGTACACTTAAGGGTATTACCGTTTAAGTGCCGCAGAATGATCTGAAGGAGACCACAAACCAACTATTTACATAATATATTGGTAGTTTAAAAGATGCTATTCATGATAAATTCGAGTTGAATTCTATGCAGTCGCTATCACAAGTCATTAAATTTGCACTCAAAGCTGAAATGCAATTGGCACGACATCCACAAAGTTGGTCATTTGGTTGTATTAAATTTGAACAACTTCATCACAATACCAATTAAAATCTTAGTTGGTCCAAGCAACTGCAACACCGACCAAGTACATTCCATAGAACAATGCAACTCCTGTCACCTTTGATACGTCAGGGTAGAAAAAATTCTACATTACGAGATAACCTCAACTCTAGCTTCGCCGCTGTTAAGTGCTTTCATTGCTTCCAGCCGGGCCATAAATTCAATGAATGTCTAAATACATCAACATCAAGATCAAGCCTTTATCCCACTACGTGGGATCGGCTACATGAATCCTTTTTCCTCCATTGTGTCATATTAAAAGTCAAACTCTCGTTTAAATCTAATAAAGAAAGGTCATTCATAATATTTTCTAACCAAGTCTTTTTAGGTCTGCCTCTACCTTTCTTAACATAAGTCAAATCTAATACCTCTACTCTTCTAACCGGGTCATCGGAAGGCTGCCGTTTTACGTGACCAAACCATCTAAAGCGACTCTCTCTAATCTTATCTTCTACTAGAGCTACTCCAATCTTTTCACATATATGCTCATTTCGTATCCTATCTCTAAGGGTAAAGCCACATCCACTTGAGCATCCTCATCTCTGCCACACTTAACTCAGTATTATGCTTCCTTTTTAATGGCCAACATTCGGCACCATAAAACATTGCAGGCCTAACCACCATCTTATAGAATTTCCCCTTAAGTTTGAGGGGTACTTTTCTATCACACAACAAGCCCGAAGCATTCCTCCACTTCAACCATCCAATTTGAATTCTGCTGATAATATCCCCATCTATTTCACCATTACTCTGAACAATAGATCGAAGATATCTAAAACGTGTACTCTTATTAATGACTTGATCTCCCAAAGTCACAATCCACTCACTAGATCTATTACTACTAAAATTACACTCCATATATTCTGTTTTAGATCTACTCAAGCGAAAACCTTTAGACTCTAAGGTTAACTTCCATAATTCAAGTTTACCTTCAACTCCCTCTCTAGTCTTATCAACAAGAAAAATATCATCAGCAAAAAGCATACACCAAGGTACATCCTCTTGTAAATATTTAGTGAGAACATTCAAGACTAAAGCAAAAAGATATGGGCTTAAGGCCGATCCTTGATGTAACCCAACTGAAATAGGGAAATACTTGGTCAAACCACCTTGTGTTTGAACACAAGTAATAGCTCATGAATATATTATTTTAATGATTTGAATATAAGCGTTATTAACTCCTTTCTTATCCAGAACTCTCCATAGCACTTCTCTTGGAATTTTATCATATGCTTTTTCTAAATTAATAAAATATCATATGTAGATCCTCCTTATTTTCGCTATATTTCTCCATCAAACCTCTTTATAAATATATGGCTTCCATAGTCGACCTACCCGGCATAAATCCAAATTGATTTTGAGAAAATGAATGTCTAAATAGACATTAAAAAAAAAAGAGGAGTCTAATGGTGAAGAACAACTTCGGCAATCTAGAAGTTGAAAGGGATGTGGAATCAAAAAATGTAGTTGGTGATAAAGGAAATTGATTAGCTTGTGTTCTAGAGAAGTTTTTGTCCCCAAGCAACAGAACAGTTCACACCACAATGCCATATTTCAAGCCAAGTGCACTGTCAATGGGTAGGTTTGTTAGTTATTGATTGATCAAGGATGAACTGAAAATTTAGTGTCATGATCCATTGTTCAAAGTTTACAATTAAAAAATAACAAAAATTCCTCACCCTTTTTTAATTTTAATTTTAATTTTTATTTTTATTCTTTTTTTTTTTCTTTTTTTTAACAAAAAATCCTCACCCTTATAGAACAAACTAGGTTAAGTCAGGTATGGATATTTTAGTCTCTAAAATGCGTTGGGTAACATTCTCGTTAGGAAAGAACTATGTGTGAGGTTTTATGTAATGTAGTGGATATGGATGTGTTCCATCTAATCTTTTAGTAGCCTTGATAATTTGACGTGGGTGTCATTTATGATGAAAGGGCTAACACATACTCATTTGTTTCAATAGACAAATGACTGAGAATATTATCACAAACTCAAGACAACAACATTATTTCACTCAAAGCAAAAGCATTAATGTAGCAGGTGTTAGGTCAATCTCTTTTGAATGCATGGGAGGAAAATTCATTAATGTTAGCTTTTATCTTCAAAGTACAATCAGACAATCATACTTACGTTGAAATGCTAATGGAAGTAAAAAAGTTGTTGTTCTATGCAACTAGACTTGCCAACATTGAACTCGACTCAAAAACCTGACTCGAAAATTTTGGGTTTGGGTTCACCCGAATCCGAAGCGAGTCGGGTTCGGGTCCTAAAAATCGACCAGTTTGTAAAACCGGGTTGAGTTTGGGTTGACCCGGGAATGACTCAGAAACCTAGCTGCCCCGCAGCCCCACGCTAGCTGCCCCGCTGCCCCACTACCCCGCTGCCCCGCGCTCGCTGCCCTGTTGTCCCGCGCCCTTTGCCTCGCTGCCCTGCGCTCGCTGCTCCGCGTACCGCACCCACTAACCTGCTGCCCTGCGCCAGCTGCCCAATAATAATTGTTTTGCCATCATCAAGAAGGTCGAGATTGTTAAGAGAGTTGCTACTTAGTTTTTGCATGTTTTACATTCTTGCAACTTGTATAGTTTTGATGATTCCAAATATTATTGTTCTCCTAACATTTTTTGGAAGAATTATTTTTGCTCTTGTGTGGACTAATATTTCAGGATAATCATACTCCAGACTAATAAAGACTTCAAATCAAATGCAGCATAAGATAATTTGTAAATTGAAGTATGTGTTTTTCACTTTATTGAGTCTGAAAGAGTGTAATTGTAATTAAACAACCTAGCACACACACATTGGGGGAGATCTTTAAAAGTCAAAATTTTTTTATACTGATCGTACAGGATGAACCATGTTCGTACGGGACGATCAGGTCAGTTTTACCCCTCGAAGAATAATGGAACGGACAGAAAGTGAGAAAATTTTTCTAAGTCTTGATTGTCAAGATGAATTTACCCATTCGTCCCTGGACGATGTCCTCTGGATTCTCACTTCGAACTGTTCGTCCAAACGAATTGTCCCATTTGTCCTAGGATGTTTTCTGGACTCGTGACTTGAACTATTCGTCCAGATGAAATGTCCCATTCGTTCTAGGACGATGTTCTCTGGACTCGTGACTTGAACTATTCATCCAGATGAAATGTCTCATTCGTCCAAGGATGATGTTCTCTGGACTTGTTACTTGAACTGTTCGTCTAGACGAGTTTATATATTCGTACCAGGATGATGTCCTCTATTCCTTAACCTTGAGGACCGTCATGCAGTTATTTCCCGATGAAACCTGTAAATAATTGTTCGTACCGGACGAACTTAGTTTGTACAGGACAATGATCGGGTATGAAGTCATTTCAAACCAATGCACATTGGGCTTGTACGCAACAATTTTTACTGTTCTTATGTATGAATTACGATCGTACGGGACGATTGCGTACGTACAGAATTGAATTTTTATAGATTTTGGACGATTTTTCGTATCTTTCATATGAAAGGTCCAAATAAAACTGTCTTGTAATCTTTTTGTCCAATGGTCTTCGTGCAAATTGAAGGGAGATTGAAGGAGAGAGTGTGAGAGAGTGTGTGAAGGA